CTACTAGGGGCTCCTGGCATCGCTACTAGGAGCAAGGACGCTACTAGAACCACCCTGTTTTTCTTTCCCCACAAACGGCAACCTGGAGGTGCGTGACCAGCTCCCAATGCCCTCCTGGGGTGAACCTGTACGGAGAAATGTGCGGAGACGCAGTTCTGCAAATTGTCTAATCCTGAAATTTGTTGTTAAACAGACTTCCTGTAGACTATCTCACTCTTTCCATCCAAACAAAAGATCAAGTGCATAAAGACACAAATATGCTGCGGTAAATCACAGGCAGATCCCAAAACTGGTGTAATGTCTAAACAAAGGCCTTTCCAGTGAGGTCAAGTCTTGCTGCCCGCGACAACCTGGCTGGCAGTAAGATGGGCTAGCAAACCGGAATCCAAGGCTAGCAAGTCGAAGAGACGAAGAATCATGCTTGGCGAGTCTTGCAAATCTTTGCTAATCCAGTAGAACCCATTAAGCCACTTCCATTCCTTGTTCCAAAAACTCTATATAAGTAGGTTGTTGTTTCTTGACCCGTTTCTGGTGACCTCCAATCGCCCAAATGCTGCCCATGAGTGCAGCTGCACCTAGGCCTGATGCAGGTTGTTTGTGATGGTCAAACCTTCTGCTGAGAAGCGTCGGGGAGGCTGTCTATCTCTCTGAATTGTACAAGCAAGAGCAATAGGATACATTTGATACAGAATTCTGAACGCCACTGACTGTACGTCTATGGGGCCCCAGACTGTCCAGATTATGTAATTAGAGGCTCATAGCGGCTAACAAAAGTGAGTCAAATGTCTCATTCAAGGTCGCTGCTTTCCGCTAACCGTCCTAGCACCCAAGGATCCATCATGTTCGTGAATACAGGGCTTAAGCTTCCAGGAAGCTCTCGCACCTGCACGAGGCTCTTGTAGAGGAGGAGCACGGCGCCATCCATCCGAAAGCTGGTCGTGGCCTTCAATCTTCAAATAGTTCACCTGACAAACAGCCCGCCACCACATGGGATTCAGCCAGGCGCTCGTCACGTTAGTGCACTAGTTACACTAGCTGTCAGGGTCAAAGTAGTTCCTGCGGTATGCATACATGTTTTTTGCCAACCTTCACCTCAGAAAATGAGCCAGCTGCTGCAGTTCGGGCTCAAGCAATATGAATCGCCAAATCTGATCCAGAACATCTATATAAGTCTTTGCAAGTGCCATCCACGCCTCGCTGCTCGGCTGCCCTGCCAAGTCGTCCCAACCGCCCAATAAATAGACGGCCTAAGTCTGAAGCTGACAGCCAAGGAGTGGTTTTTGGTGGTATCGAAATCGGTTTTCACGTTTGACATGAACCAACCTCAAACCCGCTCGACACAAGTCATACCGCTGCTGCTGCTGCTTGGCCAAGACTCCGGCATCACCAAGTGCCACCTTGAAGCCAAGTCAGAACATTCAACGAGCTCAAGTGTGACCATCGGACCAAGTTGATCGAAACGGCCAAAAAGGAAGAGAACACCAAGACCTGTTGGTTGCACAGCTGGGTGCAAACATGTCCACCTCACAATCCATAATCCTTCCATGAGGCCATCCCACACATTCTCTCGAGAACGCTTTCGGTTGTCCCGCAGGCTTGCGTGGGTCAAATGTCAAGCCCTTATGCGCTGCACTCCTTCACACCGATGGAAAATAGGCGCAATACCGGACAACTACTCCAACTCATGACAAACTGGGAGTGCAGGTCGCAGCCCTCGTTTCTAAACTGCCAAAAGATCTCCAAAACTTGTGACGCGTTATTGCTCTTTTGCAAACAGCTTTGATTTGAGCCACTCTCATCCAAGGAGCCGCAGCTAATGCCCTCTTTGGGGAGTGCAGCCGCGGTGCCTGAGCGCCAGGGTGTTGGCATAGAACTATACATTGAATCTAAATTAAAATATATATATATATGTGGGGGGGACCTTTACGTATAATATAACGACCTCTCACTCCTCAGCTTCGTCCCAACTGCTGTACTCTACTCTATTCTAAAAAACGATTGTGCCAAAGATGCAATGAGACTTGGATAATATACCTTACCAAAAAAAACGTAGAGCCTGGTGGGATACAAACAAGAGAAGTGGTATAGGGTAGGGTAAAAGATACACAGGTTGATCAACTACATATATATGATGTATGTAATATATAATTAGTAGTCCTGGTCTCGGGTGGACAAAGTAGTTAGGGTAAATGGGCAGAGTAGATAAGAGTGAAAAAGTACGCGCATTTCCAGGACATCCTGCAGAGCGTTAGGCCGCAAAACTAAAAGGACTAAATATTTAGTTTTTGTTAGTGTTTTAGTTTTTTTTGTTTTTTAGAATTTTTAAATACCTGGAAACCTTGAAACCTGAAGGATTTATTTGTTTCTATTTTGTTTAAGTTTTTTGTAAGACCGCAAAACACAAAAAGAAACATATGTAGTTGTTTCATGTTTTTTTAGTAGGTCTCAAAAATAGAATATAAAAAACAAATAATTGGTTTTCGTTGTTTGATATAATTTGTTTTATATAACTTGAAGTTTCCTTTTATATATAGTATGATAATATATTAGAAAAAATAGTACGTTACATTATACATGGAGGTCCCTCGTACATATATATATATATTAATAGCGATGGCCTCCAACCTAACAGCGATGGCCTCCATCCAACCTATTAGTGATGGCCTCCAACCTACTATCAAACTCTATGCGTGAATCATTATGGTACAGCCTCCCGAAGCAAGTGCAGGGCATTGCAAAGTGTCATCCAGTTTCACAAAAACAATGATTGACCAAATTTGCATAGTAAAATCAGCCTCTCCAAGAATCTCCTAAATCAGCCCAACTCATACACGCTGTATTCAATCGAGACCTGGGCATACTTGGGAGTCCGAACGCGCAACCACTGTGAATCGCGGGCAGCTCTTTCTCTTGCCACAGGCAACCACTCGATCTCAGCCAAAGGGACTTCGCCTCATGTCCCCAAATCACATCTTTCACCCACGGGCAAAGTCTTTCTGGCAGATTCAACAGAATGTGCAAACAACCTCCAGCTCTCAGTGACTAAACTCCAAGACCCCATGGCAAGCCTTCGGTTACACCTTGAGCGGCAAAAAGAAGACCCCTGGCGGTGGCGATCGGGGTTGGGAGCGAGCAACAGTTTCGGTTGTCAATTCATGCAACATAGTAGCACCTGCAAGCTGCAGCTGCTAGCTCACAACGTGCAAAATTGAGGCTGGGGGCCTTAGGAGAAGCGAACCGCACCAAACGATGTGCAAAAAGAGATATTCAGCTTTTCCTTTTGCCTTGCTCATGTTCTTCAGTTTGTGTGTTGTATAGCCTATAGCCACTTTCGATTCTGCTTTTGTTTGTGCTCTGCAGCTGCTGAGCATGGTGGCATGGGACCAGCAGCCCCGCTGAACATCATAAGCCTCCCATGATGTCCCACATGTCCACTGCAGTTGTGAAAAACGAGTGACTCAACAGACTGCACAATTATTTCAACTCAAAAGACTGCACATCTTTCAAGTTTGACAAACAAAGTGTTTGGACATGTTTGTGAACACATTGTAAAGTCTCAGCCTCTACAGAGTCCAAGATCTCATCCTCCACGCTGCGCCCCCCCATCACAAACACACGGCCTGGTGAACTGGAGCTCGGGCAGAACAAACAAAGCTCACACAACCTTGCCAAATCTACCGAAACAATTTAACCTCCTTATCTGTGGCCTGGCTGCCACACACACCTTCGTGTCATCCTGAAAGCCCGTTGGCCTTATCATCTTGCCTTACCCCAAAGCCAAAAAAATTATCCAAGGTGCGCACTTCCATGCATTGCTACAAGTAAACTGATATTCCATGCGCTGAAAGAGATCTGTCCTTTGGCCTTAGCTAACTTCGTAGCCAGACAATCCAAAGCCCATTTTCTCATTGTGTAGGGACACCATTTCACGTGACTTGAAAATTTCCCTTACGGCGCCTTGTGCAGAGGCACAAGCGCAGCTCCACCGTGGAAGCCGCAGCCGTGAGAGCGGTGTCCTGCTCCAAAACATCATCAAGTTGGACAGTTCGCACTACAGCTTCGGTCAGCAGGCCTCTCTCTGTTCCTAGGTGTACTCTCTTGTAGTTTGCCTTCTGTCTAAGGATTCTTTTGAGATGCATCAAGCATCAAGAAGCTTGGATAGGACCTCAGCAGATCTTCTTCGGAACTTTATTAAAAAGACAGTCAAGCTTCAACGTTCAAAAGGACATGACAGAAACTCCAGACATGGCCACTTCAAACCATCCGTGATGCAAAAAAGTCTTGGTGACCGCCCTAGCATCTGTTGTGGTCCCAAAAAATGGCTGCTTCCCATGTCCAGGCATTTGTGCCGATGTCAAAGCTTTCTACCTGAAACAGAAACATGTCGCTCGCAAAAGATTCTGAAGGGCAAAGTTCCTTTACAAACTGCTAATCGCAGAGGCTCTGGCCGAGGAAGTCGCTTCCTCATATGGCAGGGGTCGAAATGAAGCGAGAGAGATGCTTTAAGGAATTCGTCGGGATTTGCTTAACGGCAAGTCCATGGGGTAAGACGAATAAGCGGAGAAGTGCGAAGGTCCAAATGTGTAGAGACTTGGCGGTTCAGCAGATTAGTGTGAGGCCGCGAATCACTAGAATCAGCCACAATGTGTCGTTGCTTCTCCTTACATACAGCATGTTTGTGGCTTGAATCGATGTCCAGACTCGATGACTGGATCATAATTGGAAAGCATGTGGACATATTAAACATCTATATACCCAAAAGCATGATGCCACGTCCATGTTTCCTCTTGAAAGCCTCTGCCGAAATGACAGTTCACTGACAATGACAAGTCATCCCACCCATATCCTCCGCACGAATCTTCTTCCAAGTGTCGCCATTTGCATCCACACCTCCCAAGACCAAAGTTTGCTGTGGGAACAGCTCGGCCAACTCTATGGACACGCCATGCAAACAGCTCCTGCAAGTGAATTTTCAGATGTTATCCTAATGTGTCCATGCAGCTTCTCCAAAGAAGCTAAAGGTATTTTGCTAGAAAAACAGGACAAGTCCGGACAAGTTGATTGAGGTGATCCTGAAACACTATGCAAAGCCATCCTCCAACAACTTCAGGTTGCTAGTGTCCTCATCAGCTTGGAGCACTGTGAGATGGACAAAGCCTCTGTGTGACCCAGGAGACCTCAAATGCAGGTCGATAAGAACGGAACCAGTCGAACTCTGTATTTAGAGGGAAGGCAAAGTTGAGTCAAACAGTCAAACATGATTTTTACTCGCTCTGTAAGATGTGCTCTTCTTGGCACATGGATCAGTTGAAACCTTGCCACAGTCACAGTCAACACAAACGTCAACGGAGACCTGTACACAGGGCATGATTTCGTTGGGCCCCTCATGTGTTGGGAGGCAACAAACTCGTCATCTAGCAAAACGGCCAGCAATCACGGTCTCTGTCTGCGTTTGCTTGTAGAAACTTACGGATGAGAGGACCCTTTGCAAATGCGAATTGTGGCACGTAAGGTCAGGTCTGGCTGCCCAAGTCTATTCAAGCTGCTTCTTGTGAGACAGTACGTCAGCTCGGCTTTTAGAAAAAATGAAGCCGATATGGAGGTCGAGGTTGTTCAACAGACTTTTGGGTCCCCTATTTTGAGATATCCCGAATTGACCAGCCGCAAAGACTACACAGAGGCACCTCTTTTGGCCCCTCCACTTTGTCCTCCATCACAGGACTGTCATCATCTTTGGGAAGTGTCGTCACAGTCTCTTCATCTTCCGCAGGCAGCTTTGGCTGGGGTACCTCCACTGGCGCATCCGTGGTCTCCGGTGCATCAGTGGCCTCACACTCCTGGGTCTCCTTGGTCTCTGTTACAATTTCGGTCTCTGCCTGCAAACTAGAAGGCTGTTGCCCACATGCAACGAATAAAGCCCGTACATGCAGAAAAGCAAACGATGAGAGAAGAGTCTTCAGCCTGAAGTGAAATCTACATCTTTGTAGCATGAAAAGGTTTCACAGAACGTGTGGAAATACAAGATTGCTGGATGTTGCGTTGCTGGCCTCTTTGAGCTCTTCACACTGGGTCTCTTCGGGCTCAGTCTTGGCTCCCACCAAACCCTCATCTGCTTGGACTGCCACCGCCTGGACCTCTGGCTGTACCACTTCCATCTGACTCACATCCTGAAAGATTGAAAATCAGAAGTGGGTGCAGCAGAGTCATGAGGTCATAAACGCGAGTGCGTGACATTGAACAACCTTTACATATCTTTCTTGTCCAACAATTTCTCCTGCTTTTCTTCAGGCTCAGCCCTTGTTTCCGCGCGGGCAGCCGGAATTGCCTTTGAGCTCTTGCAGCCCATGATCAAACGCTATGGATGGCGCAAGACAGCTGGAACCTTGAAACAGCTCCCCCGGCTCTAGAATTCCAGGCACAACAATGACAGCAATATAGAAGCATTCAACAGCTTCTCTTGCAACATCTTGCAACTAAGGCCGTTTGGGTGTAGCAAAGGAGACATAGTACTGCCACTGAGGTCACTCGTGAGTTTCCGGAAAGGCCCCAACCTGCCACTTGCAGCGACATGCCTGGAGCTTGCATGGCTTCTTCCAAGGAGGCATCAAAGTTGCACCTGGCACCGCAACAGGACAAGGCGCCGCGAAAAAGCAACGCATTCAAGAACAGGTGTTGGACTTTCACAGAAAACCTCGTCACCAGCGAGGCTCTCTTGGCTCTCTTGGCTCTCTGGCTCTCTATCTATCTATCTATCTATCTATATCTCTCTCTCTCTCTGGGTCTCTCTGGGTCTCTCACGGGCAGCGCTGCAAGAGCTTCTCGAAGCGTTGTCGATGAAGCTGCGCCAGAAACTGCTCAGCACGGATCTGCTCTGTGGCCTTAGGAGTCTCAAGTCTTAAGTCAATCTCAAGAGTTGTCAGCTGTCTGAAATTCTTAAAGGAGCCTCGGCGTTCCATTTCATCTAGCCCTATCATGCATTGACCTTCGCCGTTGCTATTCGACTTTAAATAGTGCTTTCCTGTCCTACCCAGGCTAGTGCAGGGGCCTGTAGGCATGTCCGGAGAGCCACCAACTCCTGGCAAATCAACACAAGGTTCCCATGTTCCATTTAAGAACCTCTATTCAATCTTGGCTGAAGTCATCTCAGAACAGAATGTTGGATATTTCCTGTTTTCCTGCAAAACAAACCTATTCAAGTTCCTGCATGTTGAGCCCATCTCATTTTGTCCTGCCTCTGACAGCTCAGAGTATTGATGAGCCAGGCCTCGTAGTTTCACATCAAAAGGCTTTGGTTAAATCAATGACATCGTGATTTCCATTTTTGCTTCAGTGAATGTCTTTATCTCAAAATGTAGGGAAAAAACTGTTTGGTGTATTCATTAAAAGAGAATGGCAACCACAAGCACACTCGAACTGTCTTCCAACGCACTAAACCTTCGGTGGTATGTGTTGCACCTACACAGTGGATTCTTGTCGTCATAAATATGTCATTCTTGATTGGTTTGCCGGCCGTACAAGGATACAAACACCAATGGGGAAGCAGGTGGCTAACAAAACCATGGAATTACAAATAATCCAACAATTTCTCCGAGAGACACTGCACGACTATTTCAAGGCACTTTGAGTAACTACTCTCACAGGAAATTTCTGAAAAACTGCTCAAAGAGAAAGTAGTGACTAAACGGTCTTCCACTTGAAGATCGCGTAAGTATTGCATGGAGAGGTCACAATTTGTTGAAATGGAAACCACAAACGACCTAGCAATGCTTCAGTGTACCTGACATCACTGCAACCTGATCAATTTAAATACTTGAGGCCAAGGGGGGGGGGCGAAAGCTAGCGCTCCAGAATGGGAAAGTGGAGGGCAGCGAGGTAGGAAAAAACACGGCGCTCTTTTTGGAGGCAGGGGTGAAGAGTCCTTTATATGTGGCTCTTTGCCCGGATCCTCCTGCGAGAGAAGAGAGAGAAGAGAGACGGAAAGACGAGAGACAGAGAGGAGAGAGAGAGAGAGAGAGGAGAGAGAGATGAGAGAGATGAGAAAGAGATGAGAGAGATGAGAGAGATGAGAGAGATGAGAGAGAGAGAGACAGTGAGACAGTGAGACAGTGAGACAGTGAGACAGTGAGACAGTGAGACAGTGAGAGTGAGCGAGTGCGGCCGCAAGATACGCAACGCTAACCGCATGCCAAAGAGCGACGACAGGACGGAGTCGAACTTGCGAAGAGGGAGGAGGGAGGGAGGGAGGGAAG